GTCTGCCACGCCATGTGGTCACCTCCGGGGCAGGCGGGAATCGAACTCATGCGGAAGAGGCTTTAGCTTCTCAGTGCTGTGCTTTAACCCGCTGCGCCATCAGGGAGGGCCAGAATAAGATGTTTTTAACTGGAGCGTATGAAAAACATTCTTGTTGGGAAAAGAGAGTGAAGAAAACAGAAATGAAAGAGGGACAACTGCAAGAGATTTTCTGGAGGTACACTCAAAAGGACTTAATGTCTATGAGTGTGAAAAGAGATTCCTATTAAAAACCCTGGGTGGCAGCGTAAATCAGTAATAACTGTTAAAGAAAGAAGAGCACCCACGGGGATTACAATTGAGATGAAAAAAAAAAAATGCACAAAATGATGTAAAAATAAACTGTTATATTATTTTAAAAAAAAAATCAGCTTGTACCTTCTCAGCTCTCTGAGGTATACAGTATGTAACTTAGTAGCATTTTAAAATCAAATTTCTGAAACTAAAGAATAATGAAATAATAGAGCCTGTTATGTGCCAACTCTACAATGAACTTTTCATAGCCATTAACTTACATAAACCTTAAAAACCATTACAGATTATCAGTCATTATCTATTTTTAGTTAAACAACCTAAGGCTAAAATTATTAAAGAAATAAACTGTAAAAGTAAAGTGGTGTTAAATTAAAAAAAAAAAAAGAAGAGCATGCAAGGAGGAGCTGATAAAGGCATTCGAGTAGCACAGCTGTGAGCACTGACTGGTCACCAAGGGAGGGGAGGAGGTAGGGGGAAATAGCACCAACCAAAGGCTGGGGTTGAGACTAGGGGTAAAAATCAGCCTGAGAGATGACTCTTCACAGCAACCTAAAGGTATATGCAGTGAGGAAGTAGTAGCTAGGATGGAAGGTTATGGGTACCATCAATCAAGAAGGCTCATATAAAAACACTCAATTTGACAAGGGAAGGTGTCATTGGTCACTTTTCTCAGAATACCTCTAAAGAGACAGCAGGAAATAAAGATACTAAGAACACCTGGGAAGTGAGGACATGCAGGCTGATAGCACTTTGTAAGTCTGGATGTGAGTTTGAGGGTGGTAGGAAAGGTTCCTACTTACATTTTTCACTTACTTTCTTACTTTTTAGTCAGAGAAGACTTTGTTAAGTTTATGCAAAAAGAAGCACTAAGTGGTGATGTGAGGATACAGAAAGAGGATGGGAGAGAACAGGGAGAATCAAGTGGAATTTAAAAAGAAGACCACCTCAGAAACCAAGAATAGAGTATTAGGAGAACAGGTGAGAGTATAAATATGTTAGAGAAGCAATTACCAAATTCTTAAAGTATAAAATAAACTTTATGAGTATATAGCACCTGAAAATGAAAAATCTACTGGCAATACTTTCAACACAAATGTAGCGATAACTTAACTCATCTTACATTAAAGTCAAAACCAAAAAAAACCTGAAACAAATCAAGCGCCTATTTTTAAAGATTCCATTTAGATATTCAAACAGTGTTTAGCTGATTCAGTGGTAATTAATACATCAACTATTGGGTTCTATATTTTATAAAGAAAAGCTTACCACCTATCAATTACTACCTGGAGATACCCTGAGTTAATATTTTAAACAGAAAAGAAATTATGTCTAGGTTTTTCTTTGCCCTATTAAGTTCTACTAAAGTATATTATATGCTTATGATTTTTAAAATTATGTAACAGGAATGTTTCATGTTGACCTTTTATTTCTAGGTCTAAAGCAAACCAGGTCTTAAAGTTAATTATACTTACTTAACATCATGATAGTTTCATCACAAGATCCTCCTACCATAATTTTGCCACTGGTATTACTTTGCTCTCAATTTGGGTTAACATTATTAATCCTGAACTTTAATGTGCATGACTGATATAAATCCAATGTCACATTAAACAGAACCTTAAAAATCATAAACATTTAATAATTAAAGCTATTTACTCCCTTCAAAAAAACAAAGCTCTATTTAGTAGTACTTTGAACAATCAATAAATATGTACAATTATTTTCATCATCATATTGCTTAATAGGAGGCAAAAACTGTTCCACAAATGGGGTTCAATTCTGTCCTCATGGAGCTTACATTTTAGTATAGGGAACATAGTAAACAAATGCTTCATAGAGTCAGATTTCAGTAAGTGCTGTGGACAATAGGGCAGGGAAAACATGAGATGCTGAGCGATAGCTGAGGAAGGCTGAAGCCAGGAAACAGCTGAGTGAGACTGAAGGGTGTGAATGTGTAAACTCGACAAGTACCCCAGAAAAAAAACATTCAAGGCAGAGACATCAAGTACAAAGGTTCTGAGGCAAGACTGTAGTTGGTGATTTTGAATAGGAGAACTGAGGCACAGTGCTTAATGAAGGGGAAATGGTGGCAGCTGAGGTGGGAGAGGGCTACAGGCCTGCTAATTTTAAGAACTTTGGTCTTTACTGTAAGTGAGATGGAGAGCCACTAGATGGCTCTATACACACTGATACTCTGTTTCAAAAGTATGATCACTTCAGCTACTTTTTTTTTTTTTTTAAGATTTATTTATTTGTGCATACAGAACTGGGGTACAGGCCAGAGATGCAGGGGCTGTGAGAGGCTTCACCAGAGACAGAGCGGGGAGAAGAACAGGCAGATGCATGAAGTACACTGCTGAGGGGAGCAGCGAGTAAGTCAGGAGAGGTCTGCTGCACCATGTGGGTCACCTCCAGGGCAGGCGGGGATCGAACTCATGTGGAAGTGGCTTTAGCTTCTCAGTGCTGTGCTTTAACCTGCTGCGCCACCAGGGAGGGCCCCACTTCAGCTACTTTAGGAAAATACATTATAGGGGTACCTGGATGGGTTTTTGGAGGCTACAGTTTCAATTCAAGTAAGAGGTGATGGTGCCGTGGAATAGGATGTTGACAGCAGAGGTTAAAAGACACGGTGGTCAGCTTTGGATATATTTTGAAGGTAGGGCTTATTGTATTTGTTGCTGTCCTACTGGATAGGGATGATAAAATGGGGGGGGGGAGAGGATCAAGGCTGTCACCAAGGTTTGGGACCTCAGCAACTAGAAGTACCACACTGAACCCTCCCTGGTGGCACAATGGGTTGAAGGGCAGCATTGTGGAGCTAGCAGCAGCTGCTTTACTGCAAGTACCATGAGTTCGATCCCCAGCCAGGGAGGTGACCCACATGGTGTAGCAGACCTCTCCTGTCTCGCCCCTGCTCCCATCAGCAGTGTACTTTGTCAATCTCCCCACTCTCTGGTGAATCCTTTCACCAGCCCTGCACCTCTAGCCTGTACTCTAGTTCTATATGCATAAATATTTAAAATAAATAAATCAATAAATAGAAGTACCACATTGACATTTACTCATTTGGGAAAGACTGAAGGAAAAGCAAATTATGGAAGGACAATCAAGAACTCATTGTGGATATGTTAAATTTGAGCTTTAATTAAGTGTTTCAGTAAGAGAAATCAAAACAGTTTTACACATAGCCCTAATCAGGTGTTCTGGGGCCAAGTCTAAGGTAGCCATGAAAATGGGCGTTAACAGTGTACAACTGTATATGATCACAGAGACTGAGGGCGTATAATAAAAAAGAGAGCTGAAGAACTCGTCCCCCTTCAAAACATGGGTAATAAAGTTAAAATGACCAGTGATAAGAAAAATATAGACTTCAAGAGTCCAAAATGTAGAGAATACCTTATAACTTGAAAGCTCACTTTAACTATTTTCTGCCCAAATTAACATTTTTTTAAAAAAGATTTATTTATGCATACAAGATCTGGGGTATAGCCTGAGGTACAGGCAGGTGAGAGGATTCACCAGACACAGAGTGGAGAACAGGACAGACTGACTGAAATATACTACTAGGGGAGCACCAGCCAAGATAGGAAAGGTCTGTTGTGCCATGTGAGTCAGTTCTCTGACCAGGGATAAAACAGTGTTACAGTGGCTGCAGACTGCTTCATAGTGCTGTGATCCAACTCAACATTTTAAAGAAAATTTGATATACATACTCTAGCCAGCCTCAGAAAACCCCTTAGGGGTCATCTTGGCCAAAATAATAAGCAATTATTTCAATGACATAGTCATTACAGGATTTACCTTAAATTTGCTTAAAAGCAAATATTAGTTACTTTCATTTAACTAAAAATACATTGATACATTATTGAAGCAGTATATAAAAGGACAATTGGAAAAATGAACTCTATGATTCAAAGTGGCCCTTGGGAAAATGTGGTGGGACTCTAATTCCCAGTGCACACAGTATCAGGTTTCAGGAGAAATAGTGAAGTCCTTTATCTTTTGGGATTTTTCCCTTTACTTTGTATTCTACATACCCAAAGTTTTATTTTTCTTCCATAAATGGAAAAATTGACTTTATTCATTTTAACATGTCACAGATTCATTATACACTTAAGTAGTCAAATAATGACTTAACCTAGGTTAAAATTTAAATAACTGAGTGCATGTAGGATTTCATAGGACATCATCCACATCAGTCTGGGTGGATTTATCTATTCTTGAAGCAAAAGCTTTCTGTAAATGCTGGACTTTTTCTAGCTCTTCCTAAAGGTAGAAATGAGTTCATCCCTCTCAGCTACAGCTTCAGCAATGAGCATTCATCTTTCATTATACCCTGACAAATCTTCTGACAGCTAAATCAGGAGCTCCAGAGTTAAGACTGCTTGCTAGAGGAATCCCCTACACACCCAGTTTTATATACCTCTTCTCAATGAAGAAGTTTTTGGACTGTCATACATTAAAAACAAAAACCAAAACCCTTGTCTTAGCAGAGAAATATAAAATACTGCATCTGTGTAAGTAACAAACATCAAACAATTGCAAACATTTAAAAGGATTTAAACCTTGAATCACCATTTACATCTTACACGTTGTCTTGAAAAAATCCAAACTCAAATGAGTCAGTCAATTGCTCATTCTGCATAGTACCAATACCTGAATACTGACCACTTTGAACAAAACTGTGACTGTTTGTATTAGTACTGTTTGATGGTCCTGACTCACTCATCATGCTGTTATCCGCACAACTGAAGTCAGATCCCTCAAATGCATCTGACTGTGAAGTGAAAGCAGAACTAGAATTGGTGCCTGCTGACATAATGGAAGACGACATCTGATGGAGCTGTCTCAAGTCTCTTGAGTTTAACACTGAATTACATGAGGGGTTTTCAAGATTCATGCTCATGAGTCTTGGATTATCAGTGTCTCTCATGCTGTCATTACTAGGTGTTATCATATTCACATGACAGTTAGGCAGCATACTGGTATCAGAAATACCATATAAATCCGTTGGTGATATGGATGATGCTGCCATTCTGCCTATATCATTAATATTATTATAAATGCAAGCATTAGAAGCATTCAAATCATTCACACCTGGCATTTCCAAGAATGGTGAGATACCTTGTGAATTAGAGGGATGCGTCCCTGTTGAAAAACTACTTGGATTTGTACTGCCTGAGTGTGAGGTGGACTGGGCCACTGATGACCAGCTTGAAGGGGGCTGAGGCACCATTGAGGGCATGGCTGAAGTATGATGTGCCAGTGCACTTGAAATGGACGCAGATGAGGAATAGAAGGATTCTGCTTGACTTGAAACTCCCGAAGGTCTGGCCATTTCTGTCAAAACTGGACCAGGAGTAAATAAGCTTGATTCTGTGGGGGGAAATGTACTTTTATAAAACTAAAACTATAAAAAATTATTTCTAAATTAAAACTACATAAGTACAATTAAAAATTTTCAAGGAAACTGATGTAGAAATTTCAAGTAAAAATGTTAAACAACTAAAATTATTACAAGTCCAGAACTAAATTCTGTAATGCCTCCCTGTTTCACAAATATGTAAAAACTAATTTTATTGTTACTCAGGCATAAATAATTTCACTCCATTTAAATAGATAAAATCTAGAATTTGAGGTCCCTAAAAGCATTTTTGAAAAGTAAAATATAAATATCAGAATTTAATTAATGGGAATCCAAATAGTCAAAAGATTTTTATAGTCTCCATTTTTAGAAAAAAGTGAAGAGATGAATGAAACAATCATTAGGGATGACTGAAGATGTCCATGTAACTTTCTAAAGTGTATTAAGATTTAACTATGACATAATAATATAGTTTCTGATAAAATTCTGAATCAGAAAAAAATTAAGGATTCTGTATTTACATATTATGATGGCTGTGCATAATGAACCAGGAAAAGACACTGATTCAGGAATGTAACTGAACAAAACACTCTAGTCAACTTTTGGTTAAATTAGCAAAATCAGAATTTGGCAATATTTTTTCAATAAAGGGCCAAATAGTAAATATTTTAGCCTTTGTGGGCTATTATTTAGCCTTTGGGTCAAAATTGTTCAACTTGGGGTTGTGGGAAACAGACATAGACAAAATGTAATCAAATGAGTATGTTCCAGTAAAACTAGATAAAGTTAGGTGGCTGGCTGGTTAGATGTGAACCATTTTTTCCACAACACGCTCTAATTACTACCATATGAAAGAAACGTAATCACTTAAACAACAGATGCCAAACAATCATAGTTTTTAATAGGAACTTCAAAAGCTGAGGTCAATTCATTCAATATCCAAAGCATAAAAGAATATTAGTAAGATCAAATAATCTATTTTTATTTTCAAAAATAGGATCCCACTGGTCTTTCTGATCATTAGTCATATTTAGAATGTTAAAATACCTTTTTTGATATATCTTCCTTCTCCACTTGATCCTGGGGGACCAGTTCTAGGTCTTTCAGGAAAATTAACTGCTATAATAAAAAAATTTGCCATTATTAAATATAATTTGAAAAACAACATTAACAGCTCAAATTGAAGAAACGGATAAAGAAGAAATATTTAAATACAAATAAAATATTCTTACCACAATCCTGCCACAATTTCTGGAAAAGTAGAGTTGTTTTTTGTTTTTTTGCTTTATTGCCATAAGTATCTGGTTAGAAAGGAACCAGGAAAACATGAAAATCATAGGATTAACCTTCCTCTTTAATAAGTAAATCAGTCTTTTATAAAATCACCTATATAGAAATGCTTTAAATAATATAATATAGATTTAATAATAATTAATAATTAATATAATTAATACTAACAATTTAATAATAAATGATAATACTATAACGTGGATTTAATATTGTTGCAGAGTATGTCCCGAATAGGATATTTTTCTCTCAAACCTCACAAATAAAACAAATCTTGACAGATAATTTTAGAATAATTTCAGATTCCTTCCTCTTTTTTTTCTTCTTTTTCAGATTCCTTTCTTTAGAAAAAGATGCAAAGGGCATAAAGACCAGTAAGTCTAAACTAATTGAAAACTTTCAGGAAAGAAACAAATTATGAATGAACATTAATAATACTCAAATCTTTTAAGAAATGTTATTAGCAGAATTAACTTTAAGGACTATGTAAAACATTATCACCAAAAGTCAGACCTTTTTCATCTGGCAGATATCTAAAATCCATAGATTCACTAACTTCCTGGTCAGAAGGTCTCCGCAACTGCATTTTCACTGTTACTGGTTCCACTATAGCTTTGCAATATGGTGGAGTCTTGAAAACAATGGCCACTTGACGATGTACATCAGCTTGTGAAAAGATACCTTTTGCTTCCCAATCATTCAACACAAACCGAACTTCTATGTCATCTATTAAATAAGAAAGCAAAGAAATAACAAAGGTAAAACAAAATAATGTATCTATTGATCTAAAATATATTCTGAATTCAATGAGACAAATACCTTTCTGAACTTTGTCACAGAGTAGAAATATTTCATCTCCTCCACTGACACTTCCACAATTCTTGTTTACACGGCAAATCCTTAATTCTGCAGTATTAGGTGCACCTAAATATAAAGGATTTTCTTTAATGGTTGACATCTTAGTAACATATTTTAGCCTTTTTGAAGGCAAGAATGTCAGAAAAACAATTTATAGGATGGATAAAATTTTTAGTGATAAGTAAATTAAGGACACTAATACATTAACCTCCTGTGTGTCCCATACTTTTATAACTGTACTTCCCAACCTGGTTGGGAAACAGCACTGTAACTTCATTTCTAGGCAATGACAGGTCCTATAATTAAACCCCCTCTATTTTTAAATTTGGACTCTTTGAATCCATCATACACACTCAGCAGATTAATCTTAAATAATGATCACAACACTGGCAATCCAATTTCCGTACTTCCTATTACTTGGCCTACATTATTCCACTAAATACACTCCCCTGGTATTCAAAATTCTCCATGATGAGATACTCTGATCTACCTTTATAGCCCTATCTCCCACTATCCTTCTACAGGTAAAGCTGGTACAGTCATACACCATGGGAGACATATATATGTATGTATATATGTAATGTATGTATTACTTAGGCACACAAACACACAGAGTATTTGAGGAAAGTTTCATCATCTTTTAAAATTAAACATCCAGGGCCCTCTCTGTTGGTGCAATGATTTAAAACATAGCACTACAAAGCTATCCATGGCCATTTCAGCACGAGTTCGATTCCTGGCCAAGGAGGTGACCCACATGATGCTGCAGACCTACCCTGTCTTGCCTGCTGCTCCCTTCAGCAGTGTATTTCAGTAGATCTGCTTGTTCTGTTCCCCACCACTTCTCTGGTGAATCCTCTCACCTCCCACACCTCTGGCCTGCACCCCAGCTCTTGTATGCATAAATAAATAAATATTTTTTTTAAAAAGCCAACTACACACAAGAAAACAAAGTACTTACGGTTGTCATAGATTGGGTTAGAGACAACAGGAGGTAGCGCAGTTGTCAAATTACCATGTTCATCAGGGAGGAAAACTTGAAAACACAATCTCACCACATTGAGGTCACAATCTTCAATATCAAGTAGCTGTGGTTCAGGGACTAAATAGTATATATTTTTAAGAATGCAGAATTGTCATATAGAACTAAAATCCTGCTAAGTCTTCCTCCCTGCCCAATATAGCCAATAACCTTGAGTAGCATACAAATCTGTACTAATAAAGAAAAAAAGGTATACAATCTAAAAGATGCTTTTATTATTATATAATCAGTAGCTAACAATTCATTAAGTTTTAGACATAGTTAAGAAATCCCCTGGGCCTGGGCCCTCCTTGGTGGCACAGCAGGTTAAAGTGCAGTACTATGAAGCTATGTGCAGCTACTGCAGCACGAATTTGATTCCCTGCCATGTGATTCACATGGTGCAGCAGATCTCTCCTACCTTACCAGCTGCTTCCCCTCAGCAGTGTACTTCAGTAGATCTACATGTTCTGCTCCTTACTCTGTCACTGGTGAATCATCTTACCTCTCAACTTCTGGCCTATACACCAGTTCTTGTATGAATGAATAAATAAATCTTTTTTAAAAATCCCCTGGGCCTCCCTGATGGTACAAGGTGCAGCATTATGAAGCTATATACAGCCACTGCAGGATGAGTTGGATCACAGGATGAGTTGGATCACAGGCCAGGAGGGAGCTAACCCACATGGTGCAGCAGACCTCTCCTGTCAGGCCCGCTGCTCCCTCCCCTCAGCAGACCTATTAGGTCTGTCTGTTCTGCTCCCCACACACCTCTGGCCTGTACCCTACTTCTTATATGCATAAATAAATAAATCTTTGAAAGAAATAATAAATTTTAAAAAGGAAAGGCATTGCAAAATAAAGGATCCTCTCTAAAATCAGTGTTTTATAGGCTTAAAGTATTAAGTAACAGAAAGGAAAATGTTTGATCGAATATTTAGGCATTTTCATAAGTTGCTGAAGAAAACTAAAGGAAAATTTGACAAAAGGAGGTAGGGCAGATAGTATATAATTGGGATGAACTCTACCATGAGAACTAGAAAAGTGGGACAAAAATGAAAAAAATCCATCCTAAGGTATCAGAGACTTTAGAGATCAAGATGAGTCATTGGAGGGAGGCAGAGCAGCTAAAATATGGGGGGGGGGGCGGGAATAATGACATACATTTCTATTTCTACTAACTGGCACCAGCACTTCTGCGTGTCCTATACTATTAACTCAATTCTGACACTTGTGTAGTATTCGGTTTATTATAAAAGGATACAACTCAGGAAAAGGAAAGATGCAGAATTCCAGGTATGTAGAAGTTGCACTGAGTTTCCAAGCCTTCTCTGGATATACTACCCTCTCAGCACCTCCACATATTCACCACGCTAGAAGCTCTCCAAACACCTTGGGTTATAAATTTTAAGGGGAGTGTGGGAGGGGAGGTTGGAGGACTTTCTACTTAATTAAATCATTGGTTTCTGCTGACCAATTCAATCTCCTTTCTTCCTCCCCTTCCAGCAGGTGAAAGAACTGAGGTTGAAAGATCCAAATTTGAAGCAATATGGTTGGTTGCTCTGGCAGTAAGTGCTCCATTCCCCCACCCTCAGGGGTTTTCCAAAAGTCACTTCATTAAAATAAACTCAGGTGTGACTGAAAGTAGCTTGTTATGAATAACAAAAGAAACCCCTTTTTTTCCTTTTTTTTCCCCCTTACCATTTAGCTAATTCCAAGCTCTATACCAGAAATGTATACTTAGACAGTTCTTATAAAAACAACAATCACGGAAACCCAGGGAGATAAGTTCAGAGTAACACTTTTCCCCTACCAATTTAGTAAGAAGTGGTGAAGAGAATGTGCAGTTGAAACAAAGTCTTCATAAAATAAAGGGAACTGAAAAACTGCCAAGAATGGAGGATCTGGTAAATGCCCAAGGTATTGGTTGGAACTCAAAGGAGCAATACCTAAGTGGAAGGGTAAACTGGATATCACCTCTCACGTGGATGAAAACCCAACTTCAAATAACTTAAATTTTTCACTTATTTTAGTTTTAGGAGATTTGGGATTGCTAATGTGATTAGCCATAAGAAAATGTTCTCAAGGAAGAGAGCATCCTGGACCTAAAATCCTAACAATTTTTCACATACAATCACTAGTATTCTATTTTAAATAGTCAGTTATATGAAGAGACAAAATAAGGTAACTTTTTAAGAAAAGAAAAAAAAAAAAGACTATAGAAATAGACCACAGAGGATCCAAATAATGAAGTTTAAAATAACTATACTTGATGTGTTTAGAGTTAAAAGTTAAAAGGGCCCTCCCTGGTGGTGTAGCTGGTTAAACACAGCACTGCAGCTAGCTGAAGCTAGCTGCCACCGCTTCAGTGTTCGATCCCAATGCCCCAGAGGTGACCCACATGGTGCGGCAGACCTCTCCTGATCTGCCTGCTGCTCCCCTCAGTAGTGTATTTCGTTATTCTGCATATTCTACTCCCCACTCTGTCTCTGGTGAATTCTCTCACTGCCCCTGCACCTCTGGCCTGTACCCCTGTATGCATAAATAAATTTTAAAAAAGAAAATATAAGAAAACTTTAAATAAAAATAAGGGCAAGCTTTTATTATGTCCTACACATTACAATAAATGCCAAAAACAGGTTATGAAAAAAGTGACTGGATAAGTAAATGAAATTAATAAAACCTGAGGAGTGTTATAAGGGGTACTGAAGGCATAAAAAAATACCCTGATTTCTGCTTAGGGTTAGCAAAGAAGGCTTAGAAAAAACTAAAATGACTGCAAAGAAATGCTAATAAAGTGCACAAGTTATTTGTCTTTTGTTTTTTTAATTTTAGTTGTTAAGCTGAAAGGCTCTTATTTTCTTTTATTAAGCCAGACTTTAGAAATAAGAATCTATGTCAGAGACTACTCAGCTTATTAAAATATGTTCCTTTTCAAACTATATACTGGAGTGTGTATTTTCCTCAAACTCAAGTACAAAAACAGTGCTTTTATAACATTTCAGTATCTTCTATACATGGACAAATAGAAAAATATGCATTAAAACTCACTGCAAGTTCTTTATTGTCAAAATTCTATGACTTAATAAGTCATTCTAATATTAGTCATTCTAATATTCTGTGAAAAACACTGAATATTCATCATAAAATACATAACTAGAAATTTATAACTTTTTCTTATTTAACAATAAGAGTTTTGTTAAGTACAGCAGTTATTCTTTTGTCCCAGCTAAATGGACAATGTTAAAATTTGATACTGGAGTCCTTAGATAAATTATTTGCCCAGTTTATACTTTAACATAATAGAAAATCTGGACATAAAGCCTCACATTTAATACCACTTGATTCCTGTATAATTTATTTGCAAGAGACAGTTCTGTTAAAAAGAACTAATGACAAGAAAGATAAGGACTGGCCTTAAAACATGAGATTATGTAGCACATAAGATAATTCTATGCAAAGAATAATTTTTAAGTCTTTGTATTTTCACATATAGCTGTTCTTCACAGAATGTCACAATGAGCATCAGTCTAGGCAGAATTTGTAAATCCTTTTCTGCTAAATAGTTTCAATTCTATTGTTTATAATTATAAGAAAAATAAAGTCAACTAAGTCTCATAATTCTTTATCATAAATTTCTATGTTACTTGATACATCTATAAACATAGACCTAGAATTTGTTTAGCTCTGACATATGGTAATGGTAGAATGTGAACCACTCATAGTATATTCTGAAAATAATATACAGCCAAACAGTCAAACAGCCAAAGAAAGTATAATTCTATTGTCGAGTCCAAGTTATTTTGTTTTCAGTTTTTCAAGTTTTCTCAGGGAGGTTAAATTTTGTTTTGCTTATTAGAAATACATAGTAATATAATTTCAAAATTCTAAAAAAAAAAGTGTTTATTTCTATTATGAAAATTGCATCAGAATATAAAATAGGGCCCTCCCTGGGAGCGCAACAGGTTAAAGCACAGTACTGAAAATTATCAGCAACTACTGCAACACTAGTTCAATCCCAGCCAGGGAGGTAACCCACATGGCAGACCTCTCCTAACCCACTCTACTACTCCCCTCAGCAGTGTGTTTCAGTATATCTCCCTGTTCTGTTACCTACTCTTGTCTCTAGTAAATCCTCTCACTGCCCCTGAACCTGTAGCCTGTACCCAAGTTCTGTATGCATAAATAAATAAATCTTATATGTGTGTGTGTGTGTGTAAAACAAAGCCTACTTTAACCATCCTATTTAAAAAATTATAAACCATTCACCTAATTATAGGTTCCTGGGCCCTTATCCTGCTGGTTTTATTTTTTTTTTTGAAAGATTTATTTATTTATGCATACAGAACTGGGATACAGGTGCAGGGTTGGTGAGAGGATTCAGTAGAGACAGAGTGGGGAGCAGAACAGGCAGATCAATGAAGTACACTGCTTAGGGGAGCAGCAGGCAGGTCAGGAGAGGTCTGCTGCGCCATGTGGATCACTTCCAGGGCTGGTGGGAATCGAACTCATGCTGAAGTGGCTTTAGCTTCTTAGTGCTGTGCTTTAACCTACTGCGCCACCAGGGAGGAAGGGCACACCCCACCCTGCTGTTTTTTACCTTAACACTTTTCATTATCTAATAAATTATACTTATTTTGTATTATCTGTTAATTATTGATTTTTTTTAAGATTTATTTATTTATGCATACAGAACTGGGGTGCAGGCCAAGGTGTAAGGGTGGTGAGAGGATTCACTAGAGACAAAGTAGGGAGCAGAACAGGCAGATTGACAAAGTACCCTGCT